AATCCTATACCTAAGTAGGAAGCTATTCCCTAGAGAAAAGTCATACTTCGTTATTGAAAAGGAGGCATTAATGATCAAATGGGCGGTAGATGCCTTCAGGTATTACCTGTTGTGTAGCTACTTCTCCCTAGTTGCTGATCTGAATCCACCCTTACGCTGGATTCAAACCATGAGGGACAAGAACCCTCTTTTAATGAGATGGTATCTTGCATTACATTCCTATAATTTCTGAGTAGAACAACAGACCACACTAACACTGATTTCTTGTCACAAGAGATCGGGGATGGAGTCAACCCCCCTGCCTCTGTGAATGGCCATCCCATCTTGAGGGAAGAGGTATGTGAAGGGACACACCCTCACACTGGGTTAGAGGAGGCTAATGAGCTATCCTGAGCCTGTGATGTGCTAACAAGGTGCATCTGCAAGGCTTGTTGAACCTGGAGGAGGAGAAGCCTAAAAAGGGAAACTTACCCCAGGCCTGTATTAAACACGGATAGCTAACTCCTTCCCTATGCAATTTGAATCCCAGCTTCTGCAAATTACAGGAAGTTAAATGGATGCAGAGAATGTTATTTCCTGTTCAAATGGATTCATTTCCATATTCCTGAAAATGAATTGCCTGTCATTTCTGGTTAGGTAAAAAGGAATCCCCAAGACCCTGTAAGAAATTATCATTACTTGATCTGTGCTGTGCATATAGATATACATGCAAACACCAAAAATATGGTTAATTAGTAACTGGGAGAGTGTGGTATCAGGAGAGAGAGAGAGAGAGAGAGAGATTTAGGAGAAAGTGCTGTTTCACAGCCTATAATGTTCAGGCTGCAGAGACTGCTGACAGGTTAATGAAAAATGTTGGGAATAAGATGCCTGTATGAGCTGCATTTGTAGTGTTGTTAACTCATGTCATCCCCTTACTGTGTTCCTTAGCAGCAGCTATAGGTCTGTCTACTCAGTAGCTCTGTTTCATGCAGGTGACAGGCTGTCATATGAAGGACTTATTTCTACACTTCATTTGTGGGGTTTTCATTTTTGACAGAAGAAGCTTTTGAAGAATAGGCGTTTCAATCAAAAGTGAATCAAAGGTTGCAGAAAGGAACAGACTTTCAAAAACGATAATAGGGACAAAGGGATTGTCATAACAGATCACACAAGTGGTTCATTTAGCCCAGCCTCTTATCTCTAGCAGTGTCAGGTATCAGATACTTCAAAAGAAGGTTCAAGAAACCTCATAATGGAAAATTATGGAATAAGATGACAATGAGGGAAGTTATTTTTGTCATGGCTTGCATCCATAGCTGACAGTTTCCAGTTGCTTTGGAGGGGCATTGTGATAATACTTGTTAAAAGTACTTCCCTGTTCCAGGCCATGGATATAAACAAGGTTCTTGAACTTTTCAGCGCTTTGCACGCTTACAAATCTTCTGATCCGGCAGGGTGCTGAGAACTTTCTGTACACTGCTGGATTCCCTTTGTGTCCATTTAAACTATGGAGTGGAAGGCACAGAACACCTGTGCTTTTCATCTTGAAGGATCATGCCCAGTGACGTTACTGGCTGGGCAACTCGATAGTGCAGTGTGCATGCACACCTGTCAGAAACAATGCATCTAAATATCTTTATCTCATAAGCTTGAATTATATACTTGTAATGTTTCCAGGGCAAATGGCTTTGTCATCTTTCACTTTCTAATCACTTGCATTTGCGGTTCATTTGTTGTAAAATTCAGAAGAAAATTTTCAAAGGCAATCTGGCTTTAAATTTACACATCAAGTACAATGGTCAGATCATGGTCCCATTACAATCAATGGTAAAACTCCCACAGAATTAAGTGGGACCTGGATTTGACTCTATAGAAATACAGATAATGCAAGGGAACTTAGCAGGTAAAATGTCCAATTCAGGAATTCAAATACTTTGAAACATAAAGTTCTATCCAGATGGGTTTGCATTTAAAAAAATCACTTCTTGAATGTAAATGATATTTGTATTAGTCATTTGCAAAAGGAGAGGAATCAGGGTTCAGAATTCTAGTTTCCATATTGTTCAAATAAAGCACTGAAAATTTTCTCTTTCACCTTATAAAGTATAGCATTCAGTACATGTTAGTTTGTATGCAGCTGACTCTGCTAAGTGATGGTTTTATGTGGCTCTGAACTTAGAATTGTTTTTTAATTGAGCACATACTAGTATACAGTAGGAAAAAGCAAATGTTTGTAGATGTAAAACATTAAAAAGAAGGAAAGGCATCCATCTGGATATTTGTTGAGGGATTGTTCCAAGTACCAGATATAATTAAAAAGCAAGAATGTTTTTTTTGTTTCAGTAGAAGGGGCTGCCTCACTAGGATGTAAAACAATAAGTTGCTACTAATCTGTTATTGCAATCATTGCTATTTCTGTTACTTTTTTACATGAAGAAGTAAGAAAATGAAAGTAGCATGTAAAATATTGCTTTAATATTGCCCCTGGCTAGATTTGTAAAGGGAACCATTACATTCTAGACTGACATTGAGGATAACACTAAAGCATTCCCACTCGTGTGTGTTCTTTATAGAGATCCTAAAGTTTTATTTCAACTATTTATGTCTTTTTAAGGGGTTGTGCATGACTTCTCTTTTCATATTTAATTATTCTTGTGTCTATAAACATTGTAGCTAGTAAAATTCTAAAATAATCACAGCTAAGTATGAGATTGTATGTATGAAGGAGTGGCTTTATAGTAGATAATTGGGAAGATGGAAAGGCAAATACACATAAAATATTGAAATCAAATTATATGAGTCAAGAGCCTGTTAAGACTGCTATTAAAATGAGCTTTGGATAAGTGGGGTACTGGTTGCTCATCTTTATATATATCATCTTCTCAGTTATTCCAGCAAATAGCTGTGATGCTAAAAACATCTACTCTGCCATATAAAAATAAACAAAACTAAAATTCATTACTGGAACTAAGTGGGATTTCCTGACCTACAGGTGCAGGTACTCTCTTCTACCATATTCATCTCCAACAAGCATGTACATAATTTTAATTGCATTAATTGAGCTTGTAAAGTAGAAGTGTAATTCTTGTTAATTCAGTGTTTTTAACGTCTGTCCCTGTACTTCAGAATGGGCCTGATCCAAAGCCCCTAGAAATCAATGGACACACTTAAACTGACTTCAGTGGGCTTTGGATCAGGTCCAGTATACATAGGAAAGGAGTACTTGTGGCACCTTAGAGACTAACAAATTTATTTGAGCATAAGCTTTCGTGAGCTACGGCTCACTTCATCAGATGCATTCAGTGGAAAATACAGTGGGGAGATTTATATACATAGAGAACATGAAACAATGGGTGTCACCGTACACACTGTAACCAGAGTGATCACTTAAGGTGAGCTATTACCAGCAAGAGAGCGGGGGGAGGGGGGAACCTTTTGTAGTGATAATCAAGGTGGGCCATTTCCAGCAGTTGACAAGAACGTCTGAGGAACAGGTGGGGGCGGGAATAAACATGGGGAAATAGTTTTACTTTGTGTAATGACCCTTCCACTCCCAGTCTCTATTCAAGCCTAAGTTAATTGTATCCAGTTTGCAAATGAATTCCAATTCAGCAGTCTCTCGTTGGAGTCTGTTTTTGAAGTTTTTTTGTTGAAGTATTGCCACTTTTAGGTCTGTAATCGAGTGACCAGAGAGACTGAAGTGTTCTCCAACTGGTTTTTGAATGTTATAGTTCTTGACGTCTGATTTGTGTCCATTTATTCTTTTACGTAGAGACTGTCCAATTTGTCCAATGTACATGGCAGAGGGACATTGCTGGCACATGATGGCATATACCACATTGGTAGATGTCAAATAAATTGGTTAGTCTCTAAGGTGCCACAAGTCGTCCTTTTCTTTTTGCGAATACAGACTAACATGGCTCCTACTCTGAAACCTGTTAGTATACATAGGGTGACCAGATGTCCCGATTTTATAGGGACAGTCCCGATATTTGGGGCTTTTTCTTATATAGAGACCTATTACCCCCCCACCCCCATCCCAATTTTTCACATTTGCTATGTGGTCACCAGAAGTATGCAGGTCCAAATTCAGAAAGGGCATGTACTGCATCCTACCACCTTCAGCTCTCTATTATGATCACAGAAAGTTGGAAATCAATGCTTGTAATTCAAGTCCTAGCCCAGCAAAGCGCTTAAGCATGTGCTTAACTTTAAACATGCAAGTTGTTCTGTTGATGTCTGGGACTATTCATGTGTTTAAAGTTAACCACGTGTTTTAAGTGCTTTTGCTGTATCAAGGCCTTTGTGTCTGCTTTAAGGGAAAAAATGGACAAAATAATTTTCTTTCCTCTGCTTTTATCCACAGACCCCACTATACAGAGTAAGTGAAAATAATAGATGAGATTTTGGAAATTTGGGTAAACTTGCACCCCAGGGGGAGGAAGGACAATAGTGGTTTTAATCCACCTTTGCATTTTATCAATCCTGAGCAACTTTGGAGGCTGTAGAGACCCCTGTCATAACTTAGATTGCCCTACAAGCTTGTCAAAATTACATCAGCCTCCCCAAGCTGCCCTGTGAACTGGAGCATTGCCTAGAATCTCCACAGTGCTGCCTGCCTGATATGCTCTGACACATTCCTTCTGTTCTCAGTTCTGTTCCTCAGCATGCCTCTACGATCAGTGCTGGGTGAAGGGGTCTTCAGAAGGCAGCCTTATGGTTGGGTTCCTCTGTGCCTATGCTGGGGGAACTTTCTCCCAGTTGTAACCAGGACTTTTAAGGGATCTTTATGCCATACTAGGCCTTTTACCCAATGTAAAGGGGCCAAGGCAGGGATGAGGACCTCACCCAATAACAACTAAACAATTGTCGGGATTGTTACTCATACTGGGCTTATATTGTAACATCAGTTTCCAAACAGAATTAGAAGAGAAGTTCAGTCTAAAAACTGATGGCATAATCTGGGCAATTTTTAATGACATATTTAATATTAATATATCATTTTTTTTCTTTTACAGAACAATGGTTCCCTTGTTTGGTGCCAGAATCACAAACAGTGTTCAAAGGTAAGTGCTTCTTTAACTACCCGGGAGCTTACACTTTGGTTTTTGGAAATGAAACTTGTCTTTGACTTTAAGAAACTTGTCTTCCGAAGGAGCTGATAAAGATTTCTTCTAAAAAACACTCGTTATGGTAAAACATAGTCCTGTGATCTTTATAGGAAGATAAAGCACCCAGAGAGCCATATCCTCTGCTGGTGGAAATGGGAATAAGCCTATAGCAGCAGTCAGTCGAATTATCCCAGTGTACACCGACTGAAAATCTTACCCATAATTTCTGTTTGACACAATGTTTTAGAGAAGCGAGTGAAGCAGCCAATCTTGTTAAAGTGTACATTCAATAACTCTCAGATACTCCAACATTAGACATTTCATTTAGTTGGATGCTTAATATACAGCATAGGACTGAATTTCTTGGACAAAATTATTTCACAAATTCCAGTGTTACCCTTTCTCAAGCTGACTCTTTGACCCCAGAAGCTTAGGGGGTAAGTGAGCTGATAACCAACTGATTTTGCTGGACAAGAATTTTGCTAGATTGCCTGGAGAGAAGCAACAATGCTTCAGCAGCATTAGAGGGTTAAAGTGGAACTACAGGGTCTAGTCACTGACTGCTCTTTTCATAAACTCACAATGTTAGATGCATCCAGTTCCTGCATTAGTAATTCACCTGAAAACTGTGAAGAATGGGCAATGAGGAACGGTGGAAAAAAGGCCACAGACCCTAAATCTCCATGATGATGTAGGCCTACAATAATTTAGGCATTGTATCATGTAGTGATCTATATTCACTGTTTATTATTTTAGATCATGTAGGAGCTAATCCAGCTCCCTTTGAAGACAGTGACATTTTTCTAATTGATGACACTGGAGGATCAGTCCCTTATTGAGTATGCTATTGCATGAAAATCAAAATACACCACAGAATGATTATCAGTCTTATCAATGATAAAAAAGCTATATTTGTAAGTTACATTGCCTGCACATGAACAGTAGCATGTTGGTATCAGAAGAAAGAGTGAAAAATATTCCTACTAGCTCTTCTCAGTTTCAATACTCAGCCATCCTGAATTCTCAGGGAAACAGGTTCTACTTGTTACACTGTTACAGAGAAACCTCACCACCCATAAAAGAGGTTCATTCAGAGTATGTGATACATCATAATTAAATCACCTCCTTAAGAATATGCAGGGACTTTCACATCCTTTCAATGATCTTGATGTAGCTTTCCCTTTTTATTATTGAGGCTGATACTGTACCTCCGCTAATCTCTGAAAGAAACTCACTGAATGGCTTTTGTCTGCATGAAAAAAGAAGGAAACAAATAAAAATGTGGTCCAACTTCTAAAGCAGGGCAGAGGTTAAATGAACATCCATTTGAGTCAGTGCCAAGTGCATAGCAGCCGTACAACATATGTCTTATCTAGCATGAATTTGAGGGCAACCTTTAGATTGAATTACTGTCTTGAAAGGATGAAAGACCGAATGTTCCAAGTTAAGATTTTTTTTTTAAACTGAAAACATGGCTATTATTCACATCTTGGATTGCTGAATGCTTAGAGTGCTCATAATAGCTTGTCTTATCATTCCCTAATAGGTAGGAGGGTAACATAAATATTTTGCATAACAATAATAGGTTTGCCATTTATAAGGAAAATAAATAAATATGTATTAGACTGTATTCTTTGTGGTTCTGAGTCCATGGGAAATGTGATTTCCCAGAAGGTTTTTGCAGCAGGATTTACCCCATCATATTTTGCAATTTATAATTAAATAGGTGGGTTACATAAAAGCTGAGATTTCAAAGCAGTGCAGGGGATTTTGCCAGACATCTTCTATCCATATTTCCTCCACTGCTCTGGTCATCTCAACCAAAGGGTGTAAAGTGAAGACAATTTTTTAACATTTCAGAACACATTTTTAAAAGGGCACCACCCAACTTTCACAGTGCACCTTTAGTTTTGTTCGCACAGTCCTTACGGGCACAGTTTTGTGGGGCAAATAACTATAGGCACAAGCGATGGCAATAGATGTTACCTTTTACCTCGTAAGCATGTGCGTTCAGATAGTTGAACATTAAAATGACATCATTGGCCACCACAACTATTTGCAACTAATATATGACAGAGAAATTTGTCAAGAAATCATGTCAGTAGCACATGGCATCTCTCTGAGAGACTGTGTGGTTAATTCATTGATTTATTTTTACATTCCATTATTTAAATTAGTGAAGTTTTTTTCATCAAATCTGTAGACAATTTTAGAGAAAAAGGAAATTGGGTAGTAAAAACAAGAGATTTGAAAGGCCTTGGCATGATCAGACATGTCCATTGTGTTTTGTACCTGTGCATTCCTTACCGCCTAGATGTTTTACATCAAATATTTAACTTACAATTTCCTAACTATTTAAAATCTATTACGTAGGATGCAAAAAATAAGAGATAGAAGAGAACAGTTAAATATTCCACTTTGTCTCCCCATCAGGATTGTTCCCTTATCTTATATTTTTCTAGAATTTTCTCCATTGTAGGGACAGATCATTCTCTCTTGTGGTAAAATGTACATGTGGGAGCTTTGGGGAAGAAAATGCCCCTCCCCAAATCATTCTATCAAGTGGGGAACTTAAGTTTTCTCATTGAAAAGGCCATGGATCCCTGTTTTGGCCTCTGGTTGGCCTAGGATTGGCCTCCATTCCTCTTCTGAATTCCTCCTAGTAGTAGTGTGGCACAGCTGAAAATTGAGTCCATAAACATTCTACATCATTTTGTGTATATATAGTATCTAAACAAAAATTCAGCTTATTGCCATTCTAAGGAAATATTGTGTACACCTTTAATGCTGCTGTTTTTCTTTTTAAGGAAGCTCTTTATAAGGTCAACATAGTAATTAAAATACAATGGAAATTCATGTCGTTTATCTCATAACTCTGAAGTTACAGAATGATATTATACCAATAACCGCTAATACCAATGTGTGGGACAGTCTTGGTGGCTTGAAAACAGGAAATGTAAATTGAATATATCGAAGAACCATTCTTTTTTTCAAAGAGATGCAAAGGTAATGAACAGAAGTGATTACAGTTCTCACAGGACCAACTATGGACCAGTTATCCCAGTCTCAAATGACCATTTATTTTTTGTTATTTTAATGGAACAGGTCACAAAAGCATGACTATGAATGGCAAGATATGTAGCACTGGTTTTGTATGTATGATTTCATCTAATACGATATCTCCAGTGACCTATTTCACAAGATAAAACTGAAGAGCACTATTTGAAGACTCTCTCCCACTTGGATATTAATAGATGGGCAATTTAAAAACTGTTAGCACAGCACAGTATGGGGAGGAGGTGAACAGCCCTCAGTGGTGAAAGAACACATTAAGGACTATTTAGAAAAGATGGACATGCACAAGTCCATGGGTCCAGATCTAATGCATCCAATGGTGCTGAGGGAGTTGGCTGATGTGATTGCAGAGCCATTGGCCATTATCTTGGAAAACTCATGGCAATTGGGGGAGGTCCAGGATGATTGGAAAAAGGCAAATATAGTGCCTATATTTAAAAAAGGGAAGAAAGAGAACCCGGGGAACTACAGACCGGTCAGCCTCACTTCAGTCCTCAGCAAAATCATGGAGCAGGTCTTCAAGGAGTCCATGTTGACGCACTTGGAGGAGAGGAAAGTGATGAAGAACAGTCAGCACGGATTCACCAAGGGCAAGTCGTGCCTGATCAACCTGATTGCCTTCTATGATGAGATAACTGGCTCTGTGGATATGGGGAAAGTGGTGGATGTGATATATCTTGACTTTAGCAAAGCTTTTGATACGATCTCCCACAGTATTCTTGCTAGCAAGTTAAAGAAGTGTGGATGGGATGAATGTACTATAAGGTGGATAGAAAGCTGGCTAGATTGTTGGGCTAAATGGGTAGTGATCAATGGCTCGATATCTAGCTGGCAGCCGGTATCAAGCAGAGTGCCCCAGGGGTTGGTCTTGGGGCTGGTTTTGTTCAACATCTTTATTAATGATCTGGATGATGGGATTAATTGCACACTCAGCAAGTTTTCAGATGACACTAAGCTGGGGGGAGAGGTAGATACGCTGAGGGTAGGGATAGGGTCCAGAGTCACATAGACAAATTGGAGGATTTGGCCAAAAGAAATCTGATGAGGTTCAACAGAGGCAAGTGCAGAGTCCTGAACTTAGGAAGGAAGAATCCCATGCACCGCTACAAGCTGGGGACTAACCGGCTAAGCAGCAGTTCTGCAGAAAAGGACCTGGGGATTACAGTGGATGAGAAGCTGGATATGAGTTAACAGTGTGCCCTTGTTGCCAAGAAGTCCAATGGCATATTGGGCTGTATTAGTAGAAGCACTGCCAGCAGATTGAGGGAAGTGATTATTCCCCTCTATTCGGCATTGGTGAGGCCTCATCTGGAATACTATGTCCAGTTTTGTCCCCCTGCTACAGAAGGGATATGGACAAATTGGAGCGAGACCAGTGGAGGGCAACGAAAATGATTAGGGGGCTGGGGCACATGACTAATGAGGAGAGGCTGAGGGAACTGGGGTTATTTAGTCTGCAGAAGAGAAGAGTGAGGGGGGATTTGATAGCAGCCTTCAACTACCTGAAGGGGGATTCCAAAGAGGATGGAGCTAGGCTGTTCTCAGTGGTGGAAGATGACAGAACCACAAGCAATGATCTCAAGTTGCAGTGCGGGAGGTCTAGGTTGGATATTAGGAAATACTATGTCACTAGAAGGGTGGTGAAGCCCTGGAATGGGTTACCTAGGGAGGTGGTGGGATCTCCATCCTTAGAGGTTTTTAAGGCCCGACTCGCTAAATCCCTGGCTGGGATGATTTAGTTTGTGTTGGTCCTGCTTTGAGCAGGGGATTGGACTAGATGACCTCCTGCGGTCTCTTCAAACCCTAATATTCTATGATTCTATGATAGTTTGAAGTCCATTTCTGCAGTCACAAATAGGATTGTGTCTCAGTCCCCATTT